GGTGCGACTGATGGATGACATAATAGATATGCCAATGGAAACATATGAAAAAATAAAAAGTGAGTTTTTGAATGATTTGGCTGCTTGCAATATTTTAAAAATCCCTATTGAAACAATTGGCCAACGTAATAATGAGCAGTGGGATAAAGAAAGAAATAACAGATTAACAGCTAGTAATTTTGGAAGAATTATAAATATGAAATGTAAAACCAATACAGCAAATACTGTAAAAAATATCTTATGTAGTGTAGGTGTGTCTAAATTTAAAAAATTGTCTGAACCTCTACAATGGGGTATTGATAATGAAGAAAAAGCAAAGGAAAAGTTTGAGCAAATCACAGGTTTCAAGGTGGACTCATGCGGCTTTTTTGTTGATGAAGAAAAAACATTTTTAGGTGCAACACCAGATGGATTAGTCGGTTAAAATGCTATTGTTGAAATTAAATGTCCATTTAGCGCGAGAAACACCGATATTAAAACTGCCATAGAACGAAATAATACACATAACACAATAACGATAAACATAATATGTGTCTCACCACAAATACCTAGAATCGTTTTTAACACAAAATTAATTTGGCTAATTAGAGCTGTCCGTAAAGACAAACTCATATAATAATCCCTAAGCAAAAACCGTCCTCAATAAAATTAATATAAATATTATATTTTAAGTTTTTATATTTTAGGTTTACGTATTGGTCTTTTTTTTTAATTTATTTTTAAATAGATGAATAATAAAAAAAATGAAGTTTTGAAGTGAACTAACAATTCTCTTATTGAGGGGTGCAAATGCATATCTTTGCTTTGAACAAACGCAATAAAACGATCATGTTGTGGGTTACACCCTGCGGTGCGGCCCGGCCTGTCATAAATTATGCTCCAGGTACAGAAGATCGTGTATTATTGGTTGCCTACTTTTAATTTAATTTTTGCTTTATATCAAAGAATCAAGAACAGTTATCAAATTCGCATTATATCAGGGCACTGTATTTTTAAATTACCTATAAACTGTTTTTTTTTTAATTCAATACGGTATACCGTTATCAAAAAATCTTAATAATTAAAATTTTCACATTTTATTCAATAAAAAAATATCTATTAACTTATTTAAAGCGGGAATATTTCCCTGGTCTCCATTTACCTTTAAAGAAACACTACAAACATCAAGAAACTCTTCAAGTCTAAATTTTCGTCTAAAAACAATGAAATAAATTTACATGTAATAGGTATACGCCAGCTTTCAGGGGGTCTGGAGCCTTAAACCGTGGCTTCGGTACAGTCGCGTCTGTGACGTCACGTCTATACCGCATATTAAAAAAACCGTGTCAATTTCATAGGGTAGGCGACCAACATTTCAAGCTTTTAAAGGGTACTAGATATTAAGATATTCGAAACTAAAATTTTGTGTAAACTTGACAAAATCAAGTGTCAGTCTTGAAACTTAAAGCGCAGCTTTAAAACATTGAAACCATTTATGATACCACATACATCAAAGGGATCGGCAGGTAGCGTCCCATCGCATGACCCCCACGGTCGCGACACTTGGCACCTAACGATTTTTTTTTGGAGGTATTTAAAAACAAAAATTTATACTAATGTTTCAAAGCAAAATTTAAAAAAGCTGAAAATTGGTTGCCTGTGCCTAGACCAACGACTAATTGTATAGTCATAGTAACATTAAAGTTGACCCGTTTATTTTTAACTGTATATATAGTGCTATGTATACCTACTAATAAAAAAATGTCCCTGTATGTAACTTTGAAAATAAGTTGGCAACGTTAACTTTCAAATTAAAACATTACATTTATTTCCAAAGAGACAATCCAATATAGTAGTATTCTTTTAATTTTTCTCGGTTATTAAAACTGAGTCAAATAACATAATCCCATGCGCTACTAGTTTCCTCTTTGTTGTCACTTTGCGAATGAGTGAAACAAAATGCAAACGGTCATGCGTAGCGGAAAATAGGAGGGACCACCAGTCGTTCTCAAACTATGAGACGCCACTTAGCTAAAATTTGTTAATATATATATTTTTTTAATAAATTAATAAGTCTTTTGTGTGTTTTCAAGCGAAACAAAATGTTAACAGTACGTTTATTTTATTAAGCATTCATTGATTAATTGTCAATTTCTCTTGTTGCATTTTTTAACCTATTGAGAATCACTGTTATGTTTTGGTTGAGTGAAGTCGATGGGCGTGCTGAAGTTTGCTGTCTCTCTTAAACGACCTAAGTGCGAGAAAGACAATAGACCACTGGCGGCACCAGAGAGCGGCATAACGTTTATCTTACTTGCTTGAAAAGCGAGAGGACAACTGAGTTTTATGATATTCGGGTAAAATTAAAAGAAGTCTTCTATATCACCATTAATTCAGAGTTGCCAACTTAATTTTAAAATCAGGTCTTACGTCTTAAAAAATAGTCATAATACAAATGTTCTTTTTATACCCTGCTCTCCTATGATGTAGTTAAATAATGCATAATGCAAATAATGCTACATTTTCAATGTAGTTGTACAATTACAACAGTGTGCTTAGTTACATTTTTGGAAAAGTAGTTTTAACAACACGGCTAGTTAAACAATCCTGTAGATTCCCATTGACTAGAAATATTAGTACCAAAACAATTAGTAGAAAAATTTGAAATATCCGCATTTGAATTCGAATTTAGCGCCACTTCCTGGGGTGGAAGTAGATGTCACCCTAGCGGTAGAAAAAGGAAGGAAGCGGGGGTGAAACGAACCAACGCTCTCTTGCAAAAAAAACAAGTGACCGAATCCAGACGTGCCGTGTCTCTCCCATTTGTTTTTGAAAGTTTCCTTTTGTTTGTTTGAATGTTTTGTTGTTGTTTTAACTTAAA